TTGAGTGGAGGCCCAATGTCCTTCTGTTATGTTAATACTAAACCTATAAATATATGCAAATAGATATATTTCCTCATCATCATATATAAATAAATTTACATATATGCATGCATTTATAGACCTCTGTAAATGCCCTTTTCCTCCTAATTCTTTCCTTTATTTCATTTTACTTTCCTCTTGTTCCACTATTATGAGCCTTCATTTGGGTTTCAGTAATTCCTCTTGGTTACATTGCCCTTGATCAAGCCTTACCAGGCCTCCTACACCCTCTTCGCCATCGATTTTAGATCACTTCCCTGGGTTTGTTAACCCCCACTTCCTTTCCCCTCCCTCCCCCTCTCCCATATCCCCCCAGAACCGTCGATCCTGTTGTTTTCTCCTCCAGATTATTTATCCAATGTATTTTTAAAAATCATTTTATTAGGGGCCTATATGACTCATCACAATCCATACATACATCAATTGTGTAAAGCACATTTGTACATTCATTGCCCTCGTCATTCTCAAAACATTTGCCCTCCACTTAAGCCCCTGGCATCAGGTCCTCATTTTTTCACCTCTCTCTCCGCTCCCCACTCCCTCCTGAACCTTTGATAATTTATAAATTATTATTTTGTCATACCTTGCCATGTCTGACGTCTCCCTTCACCCTCTTTTCTGTTGTCCATCCCCCAGGGAGGAGGTCACATATAGATCCTTGTAATCGGTTCCCTCTTTCCAACCCACTCTCCCTCTACGCTCCCAGTATCACCACTCACACCACTGGTCCTGAAGGGATCATCCACCCTGGATTCCCTGTATTTCCAGTTCCTATCTGTACCGGTGTACATCCTCTGGTCTAGCCAGACTTGCAAGGTAGAATTCAGATCATGATATCTAAGTAGACCTGCACAGATAATAATATGCACAAAAACACAAGACAGAGCAAAACAAAACAACAAGAACAAAAAAAGAAGAAAAATCTGTAAATAGTTCAAGGTATGTTTGTGGACATTTTCTGATGGAGTCTGATGGAGTGCCATGCCCTGGTTCCAAAGTCTATTTTTGGTATTCCCTGGGGACTTTGTTGCTCTGTTCCCCTTGCTGTTCTGTTGCACACCTTTAGTGTTTTGCCTTAGTGTGGTGGGGTCAATTATCCAGTGTTATCCCCCGTGGCACTATGGGTCAGTGAGGGATATTGTGTCCCAAACCAAATGGCCATCTATGTGCTGTGGCTGCTCTGAGCAGGAATATCGTCCTCAGGGCTTGGTGGACCAGGATGTGCTCCACTCTCTCTTCCTCTCCCTTCATTTTCTCCTGTGTGCTCTGATCAGACATGTCCCTCTCCCTGAGCTGTAGCTTCAGTGCTGTCGTCTGAAGTGAATTCCTGAAGAACTCTCTTAAGCATTCCTTTTAGTACAGGTTTGCTGGTGATGCATTTTCCCATCTTTAGCATATCTGAAAATGTCTTCATTTTCACAAGTCTGTGAAGGGTATATTCCCTGGGTATGGAATTCTAGTTTAACTGTTATTTTCTCACACCTCTTTAAAGAAGTGGTCCCATTGTTCTGAAGTCAACTATTTTAAGTGTTAACTGTTGTGTTTCTAAAGATAATGTGTATTTTCCTCTCGGGCTGCTTAAAAATTATTTTCTTGGATTGCCAACAGTTGACTCCAATGTGCTTAGATGTGGTTTTCTTTGCATTTATCCTTCATGGGATTTACAGAACTTCATGGATGTATGAGCTGCTGTTTAATCAGTTTGGGAAAATTCTTAGCCATCATCTTATTATATATTTTCATTTTTTCATTATCATATTCTCCCTTTTTAAAGTTCCATTTATGCATATGTTAATTGCTGTGTTTTACCTATTATGGCTCTTTCTTTGTGTTTCCATTATTTTTTGTCAGTTTGCTTTCATTCAAAGATTTTCTGTTTTGCCAGTTCTATATTCTTCTATATTTAATATGTTCCAAATTTCAGTCATCATACATTCCAGCGATAGAATTTTCATTTGATCCCTCTTATAGTATATTTCAATTTTCTGATGAAATTCTTCATATTTAACTTTATTGAACATTTCAGCCATTGTTACACTGTTAACTCCAGTATTTGGGTCACTAAAACATGGTATTCTTTTTCTTGAGTTTTCCCATTAGTTTTTTCTTTAGTTCCAGATTCTAAAATATTATTGAGGTTCAGGTGATGTTACATCACTCTAGAAAGCATTTATCCTTTATTCTGCTTGATTGATTAGTGGGGGAATATAATCTTACCTAAGACTGGCACTGAGCTAAGTTGAGGTGGATTTGTAGTTTTAGTAAGTTTCTTTCTCCCTCTGATTCAACCTTTCTACTAGGAGGGGTAGCTATGGAGGTCTTGAATGTTCTGTCACCTGGCAGGGCTTAATCCATATCTCTAATTCATAACTTCTTGGCCTGATGTTGCTGTTAGGGTTCATGGAGTTGATTCTGACTCCTCGCGACACTATGTACAACTCAACAAAACACTGCCCCATCCTGTGCCATACAATTGCTGTTACATTTGAGCCCATTCGTGCAGCCACTGTGTCAGTCTATCTCCTTGAGGGGTTTCCTATTTTTCTCTGACCCTCCACTTACCAATGTGACGTTCTTTTCCTGCGTCTGCTCTCTCTTGTTAACATGTCTATAATCCATCTTGCCACATTCGCTTCTAAGGAACATTCCAGCTATACTTCCTCCAAGAAAGATTCTGGCAGTTCAAGGTACTTTCAAAAATCTTTGCCAACACCATAATTCAAATGCATTAATTCTTCTACTGCCATCCTTATTTATTGTCCAGCTTTCACATGCATATGAGGCCTGGTTAGACTGCCAAAATCTCTAGTGTGCTTTTCAGCGCTTTCTGCATAGCTCCTTTCCCTCCTTCCCAGTGCAGCTTCAGAATTCTCAAATATTTTGAGGGATAACCGACTATGTCAGACTCAATTCTTAGCACCTCTTTTTCCTTTAATATCCAATTTTGTGTCTACAGCTTTGCATAGCCACTAAAAAGCTCCACTGCTTTTGTAATTACCTAGCACCAGTTTCTACAACCCTCGGATTCTCTACCTTGCGTCCAGATTGAACAACTGCCTCCTTGGAGAAGTGGCTGCAGTTATCTGCCCCTCGCCACATGTGCCTGCTCTCTAGAATCTAGAATCAGTTCTCTAATGGCTATTTTCAAATATTGTTTCTGCCTTTCTAAGCGGTTCTTGGTGAAACCACAAATACTCATACTTGGAAGTGATAGTTTCAGTTTACCATGACATGCTATTTATTGTTTCATAGAGGCTATCACAGCCATTGTACAATTAGTCTCTTTGACCTCGGCTTTTAAAAGAGATTTCTGGTTTTCCGAGTCTGATATTCTTTCCATTATCTCAGTTCAAAGTCCTGGCAATGATACTATCCATTACCATTCAAAATCAACAATGAACGAAATTTTTTATCTAAAGAAGTGGGAATTCACTTTTGATCATTTGCACACTTATGGGGTTATTAAATCCATCCCTTGGTTCTACTGTTTTTTTTGGTATCGCTTTAAGTTTGGAGCTGCTCTCTTGTGTATACTTAATACCAATGAACAATGTGAGCCTTTTTCACATCATGGTTTCAGAGTTTAAAGAACTCTGTTTTGTAAAGAGATTAAGGAAAATCCAAACCAGACTTATTGCCATTGAGTCAAGGCCGACTCATAGTTACCCTATAGGATGGGGTGGAACTCTCCCTGTGAGTTTCTGAGGCTGTTTACAGAAGTGGAAAGGTGGTGGTTTCAAACTGCCGACCTTCCTGATCACAGCCCAACTCAAAACCACTATACCTGCAGGGCTCCTCAAATAGAATAAGAAGCATGATCAAAGATCAGAGATTCTTTCTTTTTGCTCTCAAATAACTACTCTGCATAACTCTCTCTTCCTCCATTTCTTTCTTTTTTTCCCTCCTTTTAAGTTTGCCCTCCCTCTACTATTGACACATGCTAATTGAAGAAAATGTAGAAATTAAAATATGTAAAAAAAAGAAAATTATATTCTTACCACCAAGAATTAATCACCCTTTTTAACATCTTCATGCATATGTTTTAAATTTTTTCTATGTAAAAGTGGATGATCTTGTATAGAGAGGGTTTCCAGAAGTTTTGGGGGGGAAATCCATTATCTTTTCATTGTTTTTTTAATGAGCTTTTGAAGCCCCCTTGTATTAGTGGCTCCCAGCCTTACCACTTTAATAGTGTCTCCTGTAGCTATTAAAGTGTACACATAGAGACTAGGCTGGATTCACTCAGACTTAACAGTCAAAGTCTTTGGGGGTAGGGCTAAGAGGTGAGGTAGTTAGTTTATTGTGCCAACCTGGCCAATAAATACATGTGCAGTTAATTGAAAGGCAGAGAGATAAATGGCTCAGTGAGCCTTGCCTTTCTAGTTCTTGGGTCTCTTGCTTTGTGATGGTCAGACCAGCTGCCTTAGCTGCCTTAGCCAGTTCCCTGCTTCAGCTGGCAAGGCTCACTTCCTGCAAGACATCCCTGAGGAGAAGCCACATGGACCTACACTGATGCAGCCCTGGGTGCTGGAACAGCCATGTGGAGACCCCTGCCAGCGCTGAGATGCCACTGACTCAGCTTTCGTCCTGCAGTCGGCATCATTGCATGTGTTTTGTGAGATGTAGGAGGACTTTGTGGATTGGTGTCAGACAGATGGGCTAATGTTGAACTTGTGGGCTTGGGCAGCACTGGGTTGGAATGTTTTTTTAATGTACACTTACCCTTTATATAAAACTCTCTCTTATACATAGAGTTTCTTTAGATTTGTTTCTCTAATGTACTCAGACTAACACAGAGGTTTTGTGTTTTGTTTTTAAAGTACAACTCCCCTTCAGAATTAAAAAAAATAGCCTTGAGGATCTTTTTGGTTTTTTAAATGAAAAAACTAACTGTACGATACAAATAGTGTTTACTTGTATATGGCTCTTTATCTAATATTTCAATTTTAACTTTTTCCTAGCCATTCCACCCTATGGTGAATCTGGATTGCTCTCGGGATTTCCGGCCGTTTCTTTGTGCACTCTATGCTCCTATTTGTATGGAATATGGACGTGTCACACTTCCCTGTCGTAGGCTGTGTCAGCGGGCCTACACCGAGTGTTCAAAGCTCATGGAAATGTTTGGTGTTCCTTGGCCTGAAGACATGGAATGTAGTAGGTGCGAAAATCACAGATTTTCATGGATCATTTCTTATATTTCAGTATGTTTAAAATTATTTACTTTTTCGTGTTTTCTAAACCTTGTTTTTGAAGATTCTAGTTAGAAAAGTGTACATAGTAGTCATCAATTTTGACGCTTTATAGCCTCAGTGTTGATCTGTGCTTTAAGATTTAGAAGTATTAAATAAGATAGAAAGTAAACAAAGTTTCCATGAATATCGCTTCTCGGCCTTTTGGCTGAGATCAAGTGTAAAGTTTCCATGAATACACTTTAACAGTAATTAAGAAATACATAACCAAGACATTTGATTGACTTGTCTCCATTTTCAAAGCCTTTTTTTGTATTTTTTTATGCTTAAAAAGTAATGCCATTTATGACAAATACAGAAATCAGAGAAGAGAATTAACTTGTTAGTAATGTCATCATTGTGGGGGCTAAAATACCATTATGAATTAAATAGGTTAATGAGTAAGTGTTACATCAGTTCTGCTTTTTTTTTTACTAGATACAGGACATACCAGGTGTTTTTTAGATAACTTCCACTGTAGAGACTGTATTTTCTAAAGTTTTGAAGATTTGTTTGCAGCCAGTCTTTTGTATTCTAAAATATTTCAAGGATAAAGAACAAGATGAATACCTATATACTTATTGTTATCGAGGTATTTGCGCAATCTTAACATTTCATAATATTTACTTTAGACTTTTAAAAGAAGTAAGCAATGAGGTAGAATTTTAGGTTCCTTGGAACCCCTCCTGATTGCATTCCCTTCTTTTCTGCCCACATATGAGGTAATCATTATCCTGCATTTGTTGTTAAACACGTGCTGTTTTTTTCTATCTAGCTATACCTCTATGCTTTCATATTTTGAAATCTTTAAATTGTGTGTCCTAGGTAAATAATATACGTGTACTTTGATTTATAGTTTAAACCTACTAGTCATTCAGTCCGTCGTCGAATCTGTTAGCTTCTGTTAGATCTGTTAGCTTCCTTAAAGATCTACAGCTTTAGAAACCTTTGGGAGCAGTTGGACTCTGTCCTATAGGGTTATTAGAGTCAGGATCAACTGTTTTGGAAGCCGAAACAAAATCAGTATAAAACGATATTATTCTTTTGTCCACTGTGGAAAATACAGTGGTATGTTAAAGAGACTGCTTTTTTTTTTTAATAACATAAAATACCATTGTCTACTTTGTTACTGCTTATATTTCTTGCTTTCCTATGGCATAAGAATAAATAAGGTGCTCAATTTGGGCATCCAAATTGTGAAGTGGCAATAAATGTCCCAATAATTAGAAGTGGTTCTCATCTTGTCTTTCCTTTAGATTTCCAGATTGTGATGAGCCATATCCTCGACTTGTGGATCTGAATTCAGCTGGAGATCCTACGGAAGGAGCCCCAATGGCAGTGCAGAGGGACTATGGTTTTTGGTGTCCCCGAGAGTTGAAAATTGATCCTGATCTTGGCTATTCTTTTTTGCACGTGCGTGATTGTTCACCTCCTTGTCCAAACATGTACTTCAGGAGAGAAGAGCTTTCATTTGCTCGGTATTTCATAGGATTGATTTCAATCATTTGCCTCTCTGCCACACTGTTTACTTTTTTAACTTTTCTGATCGATGTCACAAGATTCCGCTATCCTGAAAGACCGATTATATTTTATGCTGTCTGCTACATGATGGTATCCTTGATTTTCTTCATTGGATTTTTGCTTGAGGACCGAGTAGCCTGCAACGCATCTAGCCCTGCACAGTATAAGGCTTCCACGGTGACACAAGGATCTCATAATAAAGCCTGTACCATGCTTTTTATGGTACTCTATTTTTTTACTATGGCTGGCAGCGTTTGGTGGGTCATCCTTACCATCACGTGGTTCTTGGCAGCTGTGCCAAAGTGGGGTAGTGAAGCGATTGAGAAGAAAGCATTGCTCTTCCATGCCAGTGCCTGGGGCATCCCCGGAACTCTAACTATCATCCTTTTAGCGATGAATAAAATTGAAGGTGACAATATTAGTGGCGTGTGTTTTGTTGGCCTCTACGATGTTGATGCATTGAGGTACTTTGTCCTTGCTCCCCTCTGCCTGTATGTGGTCGTTGGAGTCTCTCTCCTTTTAGCTGGCATTATATCCCTAAACAGAGTTCGAATTGAGATTCCATTAGAAAAGGAAAACCAAGATAAGTTGGTGAAGTTTATGATCCGGATTGGTGTGTTCAGCATTCTTTATCTTGTACCGCTCTTGGTTGTAATTGGATGCTACTTTTATGAGCAAGCGTACCGTGGCATCTGGGAAACAACATGGATACAAGAACGCTGCAGAGAGTATCACATTCCGTGTCCGTATCAGGTAAGGAAAACCTTTGTTAATCATTTAGAATGTGTAATAGTCAAAAGAGTATTTCTCAAAAACAGCTAATTGTATCTTTAAAACAAAATCTTTTTCGGAGGAGGGAGGGGGAAGAAATGGGGAGCTGGTATCAGGGGCTCAAGTAGGAAGAGAATGCTTTGAAAGTGATGATGGAGCATATGTGCAAATGTACTTGACACACTGGGTGAATGTATGGCTTAGACTGAGAAGAAGGCATACTTTTAGGAAATAATAATAATGGTACCTGGAGCAAGGAGTAGTGTGATTAGGACATGGTCAGGAATCATAAATATTTGGTGATTGAGAATGCCATTTTTTCATCTTTTACTGTGTGCTGTAAATGCTGCTATACAAAGTGATATTTTTATCATTATATAAATATTACTTACCAATTAAAAAATGTAAACCACCTCATAACTAAGAGATTGGAAGAAAATGAGTAAAAGAAATTTTATTAAATTTCTCACCACAATTACTTATAAGAAACTCTTAATTATATGTTCTTATACCTTGATGTTAAGTAACAGAATTTTATATTTAAGGACAAAGAAAAAAGATAGTTGAATTATATACAAGGGCTTCAAAAAGCTAGTGGAAAAATTAAATTAAAAGGTAATGGCGGGGGTAGAGGGGAGGGAAGGGAAAAATGAGCTGATACCAAGGGCTCAAGTGGAAAGCAAATGTTCTGAGAATGATGAGTGTAACAAATGTACAAATGTGCTTGACACAATGAATATATATATGGATTGCAATAAGAGTTGTATGAGCCCCAATAAAATGATATAAATTAAAAATTAAAAAATAAGAATCTTCTCAGGAAAAAAAAGTAATGGAATTTTTCCAGGAACTTTTTGAAGCCCCTTTTTGTTTTCCCTCATATGCTTTCTAGATTCCAGTTAAACAGAGTATCGAAGAAGGAATGCTTGGTTGTGAAGCAATGATCTAAAAAATGCCAAAATTTAAACATATAAATTAAGTTAATTGGTATGCTGTTTTCATACCATTCTAATTATTCTAGCATCTGTAGACCAGTTTGAACTACACAGACCAAATATGTTCATTTCTTCATAGTTATAGGTTTAAATTTTTTATGAAATACTTCCAGCATATAGAAAGATTAGAAAGTAATAGCAGTACCATAGTTATTAAACTACGTACAGACTTTGGACAGCAAGCTTTAGTTTCACTGTTTACTAGGTTTATAACATTGCACATATCTCTCTGCTCCAGTTTCCTCCAATTTAAAATGAGGTTAATAATAAAAATCTACCTCCCAGTATTTTAGGATTGTACTTGTAAAAACTTACGGAGCCCTGGTAGCATAGTGGGTTACACGTTGGGCTGCTAGCCACAAAATAAGCCGTTCTTGGACCCATAAGCAGCTCCATGGAAGGAAAATTAGGCTTTCTGCTCCCAAAAGAGTTACAGCTTTGGAAACACAAGGGACAATTTTACTCTGCCCTATAGGGTCTCACTGAGTCCGAATTGACTCCGTGGCAGCGAGTTTGGTTTTTTAGTTACATGTAAATACTTAGAAAAATGTCTGCATTCATAATAAATGCTCAAATGTTAGCTGATATTCTTGTTCTTCTATTGCTATTGTTGCTGCTGCTGTTAATGTTACTTGCTTTTTAAAAGTATGTTTAAACTAATGTTTGATAGTGTTTTTGATGAAAGCTTGCATGACAAATTACGTTCCTAATGAACAATTACTGCCCACATTGTTGGGTGACAATGGTTAGATTTTCCACAATGTGTCAGTATTCTCTTTAATTCTGTTCTAGGTGGTCCAAAAACATAGTCTCCCTATTCCTGTTGTCTCACTAAACTAGAATTGTCTGGAATTGTTCACCTTTAAAGCTAGAAAACAAATCAATCGTGTGTAGTGTTTGTCCGTGTCTAAGAAGTATGCATAATTATGCCCCTGTGTAGTTTATGGATGCTGCACATACATACATGTATATACATACAACTAGATTATATGTGAACACATATACATGGGGGGGACTAAAGAATTTGTGAAGAAAGAAAATAGAAAGATAATATGAATTTTTCTGCAAAACAAACCTTTGCAGAGGCAGTGAATTATGGTGGCTTTTCTAGCCAAAGTCTTTCAATTCCCACCAAACGACCTTTCCCTGCATGGGACTGTTAAAAGATGGGGAGTTACTGATAGGATTCACTAGTGAGTAATTGTGAGCAAGATTCCCAGCACTGCCATCCTGCTGCATATAAAATGAACCTTCTGAGAAGCAGGAGCAAGGATCTCATTACTAGCAAGAGCTATGAGTGGAGTACATCCTCTGGACCTGAGATCCCTGCACAGTGAATCTCCTGGATCTAGAGGATAGAAAAAAATAGGAGTAGAACCAGAGCCAGAACATGGAGCAAAGTGGTGGACTTGGCAACAGGGAGCAAGTGAAGCTGAGTACTTGTGTGCAGGAGGCTGGCTTGTGGAGCAATGCGCCTCTAGGCAATTAATTGGGGAAGCTGGATTTCCTGACCCAAGGAAGTGCAGCTGTGTGCCTTTGGAGAGAGGCTGCTGAAGTGGTGTGCCTCTGGGCACTTAATTCTGGGAGCTGGTGGGTTTGCCGACCTGTGGAGCTTGAGCTGAGTGCCCTTGGGATCTTTTTCTCTTTTTTACTTGGTTATTGCTGGTGTGCCAGATTGCCATGTATGCAAATTGACATTATATTGAACAACCTTGAGTTCTTTTATTCTAAGTTTGTGTAGATTCTCTTATAGATTCTTTGTAGAGATCCTGTTCCTTACAAATAAGGATGGCTTTGTTGCTTTCTTATATTTCATTTCCTTTTCTTAATAAATGTTTTACTACATTTATTATTTAAAATACAGTGTTGAATAATGGAATGTTTCCAAAATTTTGCATTGTGACGTTTGTTGTACATTTTAAAAGGTTTCTTTATCAAGTTAAAGGAGTTCTTTTTCATCTTTTTTCTTCTGTCTTGTTTGCTGTGAGGTCTTTTTAAAGTTATGAATAAGTTTAACATTTTGTAGAATATGTTTTCTGTATCTAGGTCACCTTTTAAAAAATTTTATTAATGTGAATCAATAAAAAGAAACTCAAATTCAAGCCATCAAGTCAAGCCTGACATATACTGACCCTTTAGGGCAAGGTAGAACTGCCCCTGTAGATTTTTGAGACTATAACTTTTTTAAAAAATCATTTTATTAGGGGCTCATACAACTCTTTTCACTAGACTACAACTATTTATGGGAGTAGAAAGCCTCGTCTTTCTTCTGTGGAGTCTACTGGTGGTTTTGAACTGTTAAATGTGGTTAACAACTCAGTGCATAACCACTATACCACCAGGGCTCCTCCATTAATATGGGTAGGTTAGTTTAATAGATATTTTAATGTTGAATCATCTTTACATTCCTTGGATAAACTTCATTTGGTTACAGTATATTATTATTATTTTTAAACCTTGCTGAATTTGATTTGCTAACACCTTACTTAGGATTTTTTATATTTGTACTCATAAAATGTGATATGTTTTTTTCTTGTCCAGTTTAAGGATCAACGTTATGATGGCTTCATACAGTGAGTTGAGAGCATACTTTCACTTTTTTCCAATTTTCTGAAACTTTTACATTAAATAGAGGCTGCCTGGTCTTTGAAATGTTTACGCCTGTAGTGGCATAGTGGTTCCGAGTTGGGCTGTGCTGTGACCCTCAGGGTTAGCAGTTCAAAAGCACCAGTTTGCTCCATGGAAGAAATACGTGTACTTTCTACTCCCCTAAACAGTTACAGCCTTGGAAACCCACAGAAGGACACTGTGAGTCAGCATTGACTTGATGGCAGTGAGTTTACTATCTTTTGGAGTTTGGATGATTATTCCTAATGCAAGGTTTTTGGTCTTGGCTCGTTTTTCCTATTTGAACTTTATTTATAGAGTCTTCATGTTGGGAATACGCTGATAAAATGGATATTATCCATTAACATTTTATTTTTTTGTTCCATTTTTTTATCTAATCAATGCCCTCAGTTTGACAGTTTGTATTGTTTGAAGAGGTGTAAACTGAAAAATTAAGCAGGCTTTTGTTGTAAATGACAAATTTTTGTTGTAAATTAGAGGAGAGTTTACATCTCAGATCGCTACCTTCATATTGAACAGTTTAAACTACTAATCAAGCTCCCCATCCTAGAAGTTTTAAAACATGTGTTAAGCATTGATAATGTCCTTAAATGCTTAATACATTTTATTCATATGCTTTTCTGGAAAAATTAACCACTTTGTAACTTTCCTAAAATGTTTTAAGCCTCTTAGAAGGCACAAGATAAAGTTACTACAAGAAAAAAAAGTGAAAAAATTGGTATTTAAATAACACCTAAAATGAAACATTGTTCTAGGAGAGTGCTCCACCAGTTTCAATCTAGAGCCCTGTTAGAGCAGTGGGTGAAGCCATCAGGCAGGCGATCCTCAGGTGACATAGAGATAATGATATTTGAATACTTGCTTAAAAATCAGTAAGGTTATATATCATCTTGCTGAAGTTTTCAAATGCCTGGACAGTAAGTTTCGAAGTAGTTTTTTCACATTGTTTCAAAGTACCAATTGGATTTAATGCAAATTACATGGATATAAATACATGGGGGGGGGAAACTGGTTTTAAAATCTAGTCCATGTTCCTACAGAACCTAGAATTACTGCTAGATTTTAAAATCCTTGAAACCAGTTGTTTTTGGCAGGGACACTCATTTTTTTTCAATATCATGAATTGTACTTGAGAAAGTAATACTTAATCTGAATTCATGCATTAGTTATGACATACAACTTGAGTTATCAGAGTAACATTTACGCCAGATTATAAACCTGCCACTCCTGTAGACTGGATTCCAACTCACAGTGACTCTGAGACACTGGGACAGAGTCAAACTGCTTCATGAGCATGAGGCTTCCCAGGTTGTAAGTTTTTATGAGAAGACACAGCCTCATCTTTCTACTCCAGAATAGCCTGACTTTTAACCTACTGCACTAACAGGGCTCTAGATTAAAACTGGTGAAGCATTTCCCTAGAATAATTTTTCAACTTAAGTGTTATTTGTAAAACAATTTCTCAGACACTTTTCTTCGTTTAGTAACTCTGGTGCTTTCTAAGAGACGCAAAGCAGTTTAGGAAAGAGTTAAAGTTCTCAAACGTGGTTAATTTTTTCGAGAAAAGCATTTAAATAAATAAAACATGGGTTTTAAAATCATCCAAACCGAATTTAAGTCCTTGTGCTTCCACTCTGAGATTCAGTCACCTCCTTATGCTAAACATACAAATACATATGGTATGGGTGATTATGAATTCTAAATGAGATCAAATAAATTGTAAAAATAAAGACCATGTAAGCTTTTTACTACAAAGTGTCTTACACAAAGTACAATTTTATAAATATTAGTTTGTTATTATAAGTATACAATTCCTTAGGTTTGGTAAAGTATTCTCTCTGCATCCTGTTGTTAGGTACCTTTTAGTTGGTGCTAGCTCATAGTGACCCTTTATACAATGGAACCAAACACTGCCTGTGGCCTAGCTCCATCCTCACAGTTGTTCTTCCTTTTTAAAAAATCGTTTTAATGGGGGCTCCTGCAACTCTTATCACAATCCATCCATCCATCCATCCATCCATCCATCCATCCATCCATCCATCCATCCACTGTGTCAAGCACATTTGTACATTTTTGCTATCATCATTTTCAAAACATTTCCTTTCTACTTGAGCCCTTGGTATCAGCTTCTCATTTTTCCCCTTCCCTTTCCCATGCTCCCTCCCTCATGAGCCCTTGATAATTTATAAATTATTATTATTTTTTCATGTCTTACACAGACTGATGTCTCCCCTTCACCCACTTTTCTGTTGTCCATCCCCCTGGGAGGGGGTTATATGTAGATCTTTGTAATCGGTTCCCCCTTTCTACCACCAACCTCCCCTTACCCTCCTGATATCACTAGTCTCATTACTCACAATTGTTCTTATGTTTGAACTCCTTCTTACAGCCACTGCATCCGTCCACTTTGTCAAGGCCTTCTTTTTTACTGCTACTCTGCTTTACCAATCCTGATGACCAGGGTCTAGTCTACTTACAACATGTTTAAAGTCCGTGCAACAAAGTCTTGCCATCTTTGTCTCTAAGGAACATTCTTGGGAGATCAAGACAGATGTGTGTGTTCTTTTGGCAGTCCATTTTACCTTCAGTGTTCATCACCAGCACCATAATTCAAACATACCAATTCTTCTTTAGTTTTCCTTATTCAGTGTTCAACTTTCATATGAATGTGAAGCAATTGCAAATGCCCTGGCTTGGGTTACACACACGCTAGTCCTCAAAGTAACCTTGCTTCTCAGTATTTTAAAGAGGTTTTGTGCAGCAGATTTAGTCAGTGCAATGCATCTTTTAGCTCACTTGACTGCTGCTTCCATGAGCGTTGACAAAATCCAAGCAAGACAAAATCCTTGACAACTCCATTTATGATGATACTACCTATTGGTTGTGTCTTCTGTGTATCTCAGATTGGTAATAAGCCTTCCTCCAAATATTATGCCACATTCTTCTTCATGAAACCTAGCTTCTCTGATGATTTGCTCGGCATATGGAATGAATAAGATTGGTGACAGGATACAACCCTGATGCACATCTTTCCTGATGTTAAATTATGCAGTATTCTCTTGTTCTGTTCTCACAGCTGCCTCTTGATCCATGTGCTAGTTCTGTAGGAGCACAATGCGGTGGTCTGGAATTCCCATTCTTATCAGGCTATCCATAGTGTGTAATGATCCACACAATCAAATGCTTTGGCACAATCAATAAAACTCAAGCAAACATCTTTCTCATATTCTCTGCTTTGAGTCAAGACCCATCTGACATCAACAATGATATCTCTCGTTCCATGTCCTCTTCTACATCTGGCCGGAACCTCTGGCAGATCCCTTTCAATGTACTGCTGCAACTGTTGAGTGAGCTTCAGCAAAACTTTACTTGGCATGTGAATTTGATGATATTGTTATATAATTTAACCTATTCTGTTGAGTCACCTTTTTTTGGAATAGGCGCAAATGTGGATTTCATTCAAATGGTTGGCCAAGTATCTGTCTTCCAAATTTCTTAGAATAGTTGAGTAAGTACTTCCACTGCTTATCAGCTCATTCAAACATTTCGATTGGTGCTCCATCATGTTTCTTGTCTAAGTTAACCCCTCTTCATTTTTCTATCTTCTTTTCAGCCATGTAATCTGAGTTGGGATTTTTCTTTTCTAAATACTGTATCAGGAAATCATTTATAGTAAAACTTTTGTTTCAATCATAGAAATGTGTTACCATAATCTAAGCTGTTTAGCTATCAAATTCACATTAGAATTCTTTTTTTTAAAGCTTATTTTTAGATAAAATAAACAAACATTATTTGTATTTTTGCAGTTACAGAAGGCAACCCATCTGCTGTTTATCCCATCTTAATTCAGAAAAATGGCAGACTACTGTCAATTCTGTCTTGTAATGAATCAGCTTCATTTTCTCAGAAGAGTGCTTCCCTTTACCAGAAAGTTCCAAAAAGAGTCATCATTGTTTATGAAGGGACCAGGAGAGCGATAAGATATTTACACTTCCAACATTAGAGACGATGAATCTGCTTTCACTGAAATATGAATATATCTCACTACCATTGAGCTGATTCCAACTCATAGCAACACAGCGGACAGAGTAAAAGTACCCTATCGATTCCTAAGTTATTAAGGGAGTAGAAAGCATCATCTTTGTCATGAGGAGCAGCTGTGGGGTTCGAAATGCTGACCCTGCGCTTAGTGCCCTAATAGGTAGCATACTGTGCCACCAAGACTACTCTTTTAAAATACATAGTGCTAACTAATCTTTAAAGTTGTAGATGTCTTGCCTATGACATAAGACCAATTAAGTTTTTCATCACAGTTAATTTCTGTATTGGAGAAAAAGCAATTAATTCCTAAAATAAATTTAAAATTTTTTCTTGTTATGTAGGAAACTACTCTAATACTTTGAAATATTCAGAGAAAACTACTTAGTATTTTGCCACTTTCCACCAAGTTGGTTGCAAGTCATGGTGGCCTTTTGTATTACAGAGTAAAGTGTCACTCAGTTCTGCCCTATCAGCATGACAAGTAAGTTTGAGCTCATTATTGGGACTTTCATATCTATCATTTTCTTTGAGAATTTCCCTCATTTTTCCTGACCCTTTACAAATTGCCCTGTACTTTCCTAATCTTTGACAATTTGAAGTCTCACCTAGCCTCACTTTGAAGGAACATTTTGGTTGTATTTCTTGTAAGGCTGATGTGTTCATTTTTCTGGCAGAGCTAAGTATCTTCAGAATTTGTAACCAGCGTCACACTCTGAACGCATCAATTCCTCATTCCTTTTCATTGTCCAACTTTTGTGTACTTATGAGGTGTTTGAAAAGACCATGACTTGGACCACATATACCTTAGGCATCAAGTGCCATCTTTGCTTTATAAAATTATACAAAGGTCTGTTGCAGCAAATTTGCCAATGCAATATGTTGTCTGATTCCTTGACTGCTGCTG